CGGTACATATACGCATTGTCGGTTAGGTTATAACAAGGGTTTATTGAATTCCATGTCTTCTACACATTCTTCATCAAGTAGACTGACAGTTTCGAAATACAAAAAGGCAGTAGGTGATAATGATGCACAGCGCAAATTTGATAAGAGGACGTGTAAATTCAACTAAATATACAAAATTTGTAATATCAAATTTGAATGTCGATCCCGAGTTCTCGTTCTAGAACTTATGTCGATATTTAGACGAACGAATCGACAGCAGAACATGCCGCTTCACAGAAGACACAGGAAACTAAAACAAGTTGGAAATTACTCGATGAGTCGAATGCATTCCCTTTGTCGGTACCCACTTTCGATGTTCCGTTCACTCGCAATTCGCGTGTGAAGTTTGGCCCCCCCCCCCCTCCCCCTCATCAGAAAGATCTTGTCGAGGGCAACAACATTCCCTTTATCGGTACCCCCTTCTGGCGTTCCATTCACCATCAATTCGCATTTTGGTGGATTTCACTAAAAACCCTCCACAAAATAGTACTCCATTTTTGGGCACTTCGCGAACTTCTATTGGCGATACGACACAGAGAGGCCGCAATTTGGCCTTACAAAACTTTAAACATCGTGACAAAATTCGCAGTGGAAGATACCTTTTGGGTGCCCGAAGTCGACTACTCCTCGAAGACGCGCACCTTGCAAAAGGTGGTTAATTTTGACCCTGGGAGAAAAAAACAAAATTTCGTTACGCAGAAGTTATGCGCGTTTACAAGATCTTTCCGACGACACCAATTTGAAAAGAATCGGACCAAAACTGTAGAAGAAGATCGGGAAAAACTGAAAAATCACCACGTTATATAACACACTCGGGTATGGCGCCCAGTTGTCGCCGACCCCCGTCATGTAGCCTCGTCCCTAAAGTTGTTAATTACACGGCCCCGGTAAGTACATACATGTACACTCCTCGTCTTTCTACAAGCGTTTGGAACCAAATTTGGTACATTAAGAGCTGACAACCTTTTGGGCAGAATCGCGCATACGCCGTTTCGCGGGCAGAGCCTCAAACCTAACCCACATAGTTACGGCAGCAGCGAATTCGGTTTTGAATTCTCACATAGCAACCTGACCTCTGAATATGGAAGAAGGGAACTGATATCCTGTCAAGGGCAATGCTGCGCGTTGAAGCAAATTTTCGTGTGACGGCCATATTCTTGGTGGGAAAAATCATCATAGAGAAGGAAAGAGAGGTTTACATCTTGTCTACTCCGTCAGCTGTTTTCAGCATTTTCAGCAGCCATGTTACTGGTGGGCACACAAATTATTGCTTCACTTTACCATCATCATTTATCACTCCTCTCTCTTTCCTTCTCAAGAGTACGACCATAACGACATACCTCGCACTTCCGACTGTCCACTTTGACGCGCCGCGCTGCTACTGTGAGAATTGCGCCATTTAAAAAGACGCAACTTATGGAAGCAGCACATACTGCGATGGGACGTGCTCGTTGCTTATGTGGTGCCGGGTTATCCCTGTCAGGGGCCACATTCAATGCAACTGTCGTCCTTAACTTCACCGTTTTCTTATTTTTTAAAATACTGTAATTGTACAGGGTCGGAACCAAACCTCTCATGCTCACATCGTTTGAGGCGTGGTTTGAGGTATAGACATGAAAATTAGAACGTTTCCAGTTGAAATTATTTCACATATTTCGAGGTTAAAAAATTTTATTTACGTGGTTTTGAGTGCGACCGCCATCTTGAAATTTTTAAATGGCACCATTAAAAAAATTCAAGATAATGGCGTAAAGGAGGAGGGCAGCAGGGGCGATTTTCGAAACTTAAGTTAATAAAAACTTATCTACGCTATTAAACAATCTCGCAAAAAAAGAAACGTCTCTAGAGATCAATTATGTGACGTAGTACAAGATTTAGTGAAATAAAGGGACATCGTCGTGTTCCAAATTCCGTGTTTTCGATGTTTATGGGGTATATTTTGAAAAAGCTTTTGAGCTGTATCTTAAAAACTACAACTGGAACACATTCGCGTAAATCATACGTCAAAATTGACACCGTTGATCTATGTAGCTTTGAAAAGTAACTATGAGAAGTGCAATCCGTCACCATTGTATCTCTTTTAGCTCTCAAACTATGGCCGAAAAAAATCGAATACAATCAATTTGGGACACCTTGTACATATCAGTTTTCATTGTACCCGAGGGATAGGACAATCGTTAAATAGGTGTATTCGCGTGTTAGAGATATTTAATAAATACCTTTAAAGCCAATAAATAAGTTAAATCACATTAAATACACTTACAAATATAACACACTAAGTATGATTTTAAAAAAATACAAAAAATGTACAAAAATCAAGATTAAGAAAGAATTACAAAAAATTTAAAAAGGTTCAAATGATCTAAAAAATTTTAATTTTTTTAATTTTATGAAAAATCTTTTGAATCTTTTTATTAACTATTGAATTTTTTTAAATTTCTTAACTGTTATATTTTTGGAGTCCCTCTGGGTGGGGCACTCCTTAAATATAGGTGTACCCGCGTATTAGATATATTTAATATAAAACTTAAATCCTATTAAAAACACTTTTAAATCCCTTTGATTACTCATAAATTCCATTAAGGACAATTCAATTCGATTAAATACACTTAACTCCAATTAAATTCCGCTAAATAATAAAAATACTTTAAACGATGGAATCGATACCATTGATTCTATTAAATATAATAGGCGCCGTGCGTATGATTGTTACAAAAAGAGCAGAGGGTGCCTTTTAAAATTATAGCTCGAGATCTGAATTGCATTTCCCGTGCGACTCAAACTTCAGCATGAATCGCTCTCGGAGTCGATCTTTCGTGCGTTTGCATCTCCGGCAAAATTATTACTATGTGGGTGACGATACTACAAAGGGTAGGTTGATTCTCGAAGGGAGTATATATATTACTAATATTTTCGAGAATATTATTCACAGTTAAGGGTAGCAGCGTTTAGTTTATTTTACGGATTAAATGTGAATTTTTTAAGTCATTAGAGCGCATTCATTGGTCTAAATCTACAGATACAGAAATTTAAGAAAAGTTCAAATGATTTAAAAAAATGTTATACTTTTGAAGAGAGATATGCCATCATTTTAGAATAAAGTATACAGGGTGTCCCACTAAAAAATTAGGTTAGGTCCGATAACTTTTTTACCTGACCCCGTATACTTATTTTGAAAATGAGAGATTGTTCAATAATCATTATAAAGAATCTTTTACAATAAACATTTTTCTGTATATCTTTTAAAGAAAATATAGGGCCCTTCTGAAATTGAGAATTTTTTTAAGCCCACCCCTCGAGATCCCCATAGTGGCACTCGAAAAATGGGCACCTTGTATACAAATATAACATTTGAGTGCATAGTTTTTTGTAATTATTTAGACAGATTGCGGAATTGCCTTAAAATTACAAGGCTATTAAAATACGTTACAGTCGTTTGATTTAAATGTATATATGTACTACGACATCCAGAAAGAAAACATTTTGATAATAAAAAATGTTGATTTTGAAATATCCAAGAGATATTGTAATAAAGCGGCATTTAAATATTTGAGATATCTCTGAAATTATACCTATCTAGTTCATGTTAATTTATTCTTCCAAATTTTTATACACCGTTGCGATTTGAAAGTAAAACGGCGTTCCCCGCAAACAAACTTGCGCATTAAAAAGAATGAAGTAGCAATAAAATATGTACTCGAAACACAAAACAAAGCCCATTTAAATCGAGATTTAAATAACAAACCAGCTGTGTCTGTAATTGTTGGCTGGCTGCCTTTTTACTTTGTTATCTTAGGTCATCGGGGGAATCTCATGATAGGCAATCAATTTGGATTTCCGTGACACGATTGAAAACTAAACAATTTCCATCAGACTGATGTGGACTGTTTTTTTGGAAATAATAAATTCGTATTTTCATCGAAATACTCTGAAATGTGTAGGTACTTAAAGTGAAAGTGAATTTATTCCTAATATGACAAACACGTTTTGTTAATGAGATGAGTTTGTGATACCCGAATGAAAGGAAATTCCGAAGTGATAATGTCTACTCAATGACTAACGTACGCTTTTACGAATTTTTCTTCGCCCTAAAGGTACGTCATCATCAATCTACATATAAACTTTTCGAGTAAAAAATTGCGACCGCCTCAGAAATAAGAGTGGATGAAGGTTTTCCCGGGGGAGCGTAATTATAGATGGATGCTCATTTAGGTCATATTATTAAAGCCATGCGTGTACCTTCTAACATGCGTCTACTGATTGGGAAAGAGTTAATTGCTCGTAAAGAATTTCGTGTCGAAATTTGGCTTGTCGATTTATATATGTTGCGAGTACACTAATAATTTTGTCATTAAATGTTATTAGTATTGTGATGTGTAGGTGAAGAGCACGGAAGCGCAACGCATCCGGTTCAAAAATTTCAGATGATAACTTCGAAATTGGAATACAGCCTGCAGGCTAATTATTTATGCGAGGGGTCAACGCATAATTTCTGATTTTGACCTAAGCGTATAATTACACATTTTTTTGGAACCCACCGAAATCAGTTTCCTCGTACTTGATCGATGATAAAAATCGTAGCGTCTTTTCAGAAATAAGATGATAATTGTCAGTAATTAATGACTAATGAAGGTACGCAAAGTAAGAAGAAAAGATATTTACCCCTGCTACTGTACAGCAACATCCGAACATATTTCTTTCTTAAAATAAATCAATACTGATATATTGCTTGGTTCAATGTGTAAACAATCGATTTCGTATCAATGTAGTTCAAACCACATCCATAGATTATATGTGAACGCCCCAATTTGTGCTATTAACACGCGTTTGGTAGTCAAGGAAGAGTTAAAATTTAAACTAAGTGTACATTTGGCGCGACTTAAATGAGGAATAGATTAAAATGTTTAATCTTCCTTTTCGCTATTTTTAGGCACTAATCGGATTATATAAAGGCAACTTACCTCAAACATTAACATTTTAAATCACACGATTCAGTTTTTAACACACAAAAAATTCACCCACTAACACATTACCTATCGCGCTGCGAATGTGCTACCAAAAGTATCTAGTGGCAGTACGCAACTAATCGGTTTTGCAGTGCTTAACTCACAGCTTGTTAATGATACCGGATTAACTTGGTGCGGTCATGGAGAAGGCGTTGCACCAGTATGACGATGACGACGGCGGTCGAAACAGTGGCTTTGTCCGTACCGTTAGTCTATCTTTTCATTGTTAAGTTGATTAAAACTTAAAAGCTACCCATGGACTCCGATGAATAGATGATAAATGGCGTTCTCATGTCATTGCACTGTATTATTGTATAACAAAAACCAGGCGCTCTCGTCGTCCTTATCTGTATTTGTACAAATTCGCGATTAGGAGCTGAAAATTTACTTTGGAAATCACGGAATCCAATAATCAAACAGAAGAATTTCGAAATCTCGATTCAAGCCCGAGCGCGTGTTTAAAATTGTTCTACATTCTTCCGTGTTTATTATTAGAAACACAAAAATTTCACCTATATATTTTCGGAAGTAGGTGCTTATATTTTGGCAGAACATCTCACATTCTCAAGCGAGAAGAAATTGTCTCTGACGTTAAATCTGCATGGAAAAAAAGATAATTTCCTTAGGTAACTCCGAAATTCACGATTCGTCGCACGTGCCTGGAGTTCAATTATTTTAACGTGACACCTCGTCTGCAAATGCTGCGGCAACTATTTTGAAAGTTCAAGGCATTTGAGGGGCTCATTTCATTATCTTAAACTGTGGAGGATTCGTGTTCTAGGTTTTCGGTGAATTTGAGGACTTTTTATAATCAGTCAGTATCTAAATTGAGTCTTAGTAAAGCATATGGACTGGACAAATTGTTTACAGTGTTTATGGTGTAAACTGTAAAGTAAAAGAACAAAACATTCGCCACAGTAATTTCAGATTCGAAACTGACCCCCGTTCCAATTAATAACATTCGCCACTCCAAGCAAACTTTCCACCGTAATATTATCAATTGTTGAGCTTTTCAACGTACTACATTCCAAATCCCATCAGACAATATACTTGAAATTTTGGGTTTTACCTGGGCTAGCTCAATTTTGCGAAAACATTTGGGTAATTACCCAGATACAGTAAACATTCACCCTAATATTCTTGTTATAGCAGTCCCGACGAATTTCGCACCCCCTTGGGGTACCCCGTTCCCGTTGTTCTCTGTCCCCGTGGGAACTTCGGGAAGTTCTTTTGAACTACACCTTAATGTCTTCGAACAAACCCACCTTCTAAATGTCAGGTCTATTTTCGACTGAAAAACGTAAAATCTCGTTTTTTCCCGTTCCCATGGGAATTTCGGAAAGTGTTTTTACTAACTCAGAAACTTTCGCGGCCATACGCCAATCATTCCCCAATGTTACATGCCAATCGGATGAACTATAAACAGGCATAAGAGAACGACAGATAAACATTTAAGATAACAGACCCTACGAACGTTGTATCGCCTATGGCCGCGAACCCCGTACATATTTCTACATTGACATTGTCTAATATTTTCATTTATGCGATTACGGTCATAATATATATAATCACACTGTGCACATTTTAAATCCTTTGAAAACTTGTGTGTTGAGATGTCACTTCAGAACATGTAGATTTTCTGCAAAATTGCAATGTGTGCACTTGAAATATGTTTGTTGGTCATTATTTACTACGTGGTTTGCAATATTAATCGAAATCGCGAATAAACTATACATATCACTTTTTTACTTGATCGTTTTTAATTTGACGATTGGAAAAACTGACAACATTTGATTTGACGGTTGTTATCCTTAGTTCTCTTATTATTTTTATAATAATCTTCTTTATATTTTTTCGTGTTCTTTTCTTTTTCTATTTTAATAGTGATTCTGCTATTCGAGTCGGAGACGAATGCAACAAATCAAAGTTCATGTAAATCGGTCCATCCGTTCTCGAGTTTTATATCTAAAGATGTATCGAATCAAAGGGTCATTTCGTGCATCTACGCTTTTCCCATTACAGGGAGTGGAACTAGTTTTATCCTTCATGGTACTCTAATGAAAGGTTTCAACGAAAGGAATTAATTTCTACCAACCATAGCACTCCTACTCGACCTCTTATAGGGTTCGGGTATATTCCCTTATACCTCAACGGATTGTCGGAAGAGGGTACTCACAAAGGGCGATTGAGATGTCTGCAAGAAATATATCCATTTATGATGTCAAAACAAAAGCTATTTTGCTTTAAAAAAAATCAATTTATACATTGAACATTTGTTAAAAAATGGATGTTTTATTTTATAAACTTGTTTTTTGTTGCATTTGGCTGCATAAATAATGATTAATTTTGTATTGCTATGTATAATTATGAATCTGACTTTAACTAAATTCCAAATAAATTAATGAATAAGCAAAGGAATGCAACGCCATTTTTTAAATTATGATTCCAACATTTTTGGGTGGCTTTACATGTATTAGAGAAAAAGTAAAATTCATGTAAATTAGGAGCTACATTAAAAAATGTTTGGTCCCCTACTTTGCGATCGAACCCTGTATAATTTAAAAATATACCATATATACCATAATAGCACTCCGCGCAGTCGTTGACTCACCCTGTATAATAGAATGAATATCGGCCAGGCGGTGGCGAATTTGGCTATTTCGCTAATGCAGTGCAATTACGTAATATTGCACCTTATATTCGATCTTGTAGAAACAAAGTGATACCCTCAACCAACGGAGTAGAGTTCCTTCTCTTACTCACATGGGTAGGACCTATCTGACGCGTCCAGGACGGGGGAGTGAGCACTTATCACGTCGTGGTTTTCAGTGAATATGTGGCTAAGTTCAGATAGAGACCGATTTCCGTGGGGATGGACTCCAGTCATGAATTTTATGAAGACCATAACGGCGCCTTCGGTGTAGAAAAAGGTGTTCAGTTCGGCGAAGACGGTAGAGATCGTATAACCTTGTTTTAGGGATAGTATGAAAGCAACAGGAAAATTGGTCTCGAAAGAAACTCATATGGTCCTCCAAGTTAAGGCATCAGACAGTAATAAATTATGGTGGTATCAGGAAATAGAGAACCTTGTGAAAGATTCTTACCAAGCACTGAAGCTTGAAGTGGTTAGGAGATCTAATGCGAATGGGAGAAAATTGATGGCCAAAGAAGATATTTCAATAGATGGATCAAGAAGGTCGTGGAATAAAGATGAAGCTGTAGAGATTGGTCAAATGACGAAATCACACAAGACAGGTAGGCCTAGAGAAAAGCATTTTTTTTAAACGACGAGGAATACATCCCATCAGAATCTACAAGAGAAATTTTAATTGAAGAGGAAGAGATGGCAGTTGGGATGCACAAAGTAAAAAAATGAAAATGAATGTCGTCTACAACGTTGGAATTGAAGTGCACAAAATGGGGGCGAATGGTAATCGTTATGAGAAAATATTTATACCATCCCCATATATTAATAACAATGCAAAAAGTAAGTGAAGTAGAGATGAATGGGAAGTCGATGGATTGTGCAAACTCTAGAGGTATCTATTAAAAAAATATAAAATAGCCGTATTTCACACAAGTATATTAGGTCACTCCACTACAGATCTAACTCGGAATGAAATCGATTTTGTACGCTCTCTTGCTAGTGTTGTTTCCATCTGATTTCGACTGTGAAAAGCAAGCAAGCAAGAGCCAGTTGCTTAGAGCATGTTTCGCGACGAGTCAGTAATCCATCGAGGGCGATTTTCTTTGGGGACAAGAAATCGCGATCAAACTTTTCCGTGCCCGTTTTATTGGGAGTGAATTTTTCAAGGACGGTTCTTACCATATTAAGTTTCATGCTACCCTTAGGCCTGCATTAAGTTGAGGAACCCCATGGGTCATGGATCTCTCTTAATGAGTCAAATTGAGACCTCCTTGCATCAGTAATGGGTTAATATTTAATAATGGCGCCACCTTCTCCTACTTCTTATTAAAATACAAATGTCAGGTGAAGAGGGGTTAAAAGAATGTCAGATAGGCTACTTCTTATTCATTGCACCATTGAAATCAAAATCATTACAATTTTTCACACATCAGATTTCCGAAATGAGGAGTTAGCAACTGGAATCCTGTCTTTGAGGGATTTCGCAACAGAAGTGGCAGCCTAGAAGTTCATGTTTTATGCGGATCTCACAACACAATAAGTCAATAACGTGATAATAAGCAAACGAGCTTATGGCGATGATTCATTCACGCCCGGTGAAGGCGGAAGAATTCGGTAGCTAAAAATTCGATTTCTTTATATGGAAAGCTCGATGGTCGAGTTTGAACAGGATATGAACCGTTACCGTTGAGCTCAAACAACCGTTGCTATACCAGATAAACGAAAAAACGTATTCCGCCAATCTCTGTCCCCCTTCTCGCTTCTCCTCATAGAAGATCTTCCACAACCTATTTGGAAACCAAACGATTGGGATAAATCTGCAAAACCAAAGCAATTATACAAAGAATAGAATAGAGTAGAATAGAAACAACAGACATGTGACGAATGACTCTCAAAAAAAAAGTACCTAACATTGAATGCTGGAAATAAAAAAAAACAAAAGGACAGTGTTATATGACTGAAAAGACACTTCACAATCGAAAACCAAATTGAAACAAACAATTGATAGCAGTTCTGAAAAGTAATTTTAATTTTAAACCACCTAGTAAACAATCGTAAACGAATTACATATCATCAATAACTTCAACCACTTATGTTAATCCTGTCTGGCTTGAATAAATATACACAGAGATTTTTTTAAGAGAATATACCACTATGTTAATCCTGTCTGGCTTGAATAAATATACACAGAGATTTTTTTAAGAGAATATACATACGTACAATTCCTCTATTCATTAAATGGGCAACATCAAACCATTAGAAAATTTCTAGTACATTCATAAGTACCTACTAAAATTATCACAATGGATGAAAACATGTTGATTGTGAATTGGTACAATAAACTGGGTAATGATTAAAGAAACGTACGTGGCCCGCTTACTTGCGAAAATGCAAATGTCTTTAATTATTTTGGTCTATTAAAAAGGAGCAAGCCTTTGCAAACCACAAGCCGTCATCTAAAGTGCTTGTGTGTTGTAGATCTTATTATTGAAGAGCACTGATTTTAAATGTACTTCGTTTTAATTTATTATTT